AGCATAAAGGAGCATAGGATACTTATTTCAGTTCATTTGGTACCAATATTGGGATAAGAAAACGATCTGGAGCAGCTATACGCGTTTAACCAACAGCAGCGTTAGCAAGAAGAAAAGCCGGTGTGACCAAGGGGAGCTAAAGTGACCATCACCTCCATCTTGTGAGACGCGAAGCACTTTAAAAAGAAAGCGAAATTTGGCTTCCAATGTTAGGAAAAATGTGTCTAATGCCAAACCACACGGTGCTGCTCATTAATTGATACGTTTATCTGGGTTGTTTAAATGATGCTTGTATTCGAACCTCATGCATACTCATAGATAAAAGAAAATAACTAACTATTAAGATAGATATGAAACTTAATAGTAAAATTTTGGGTCAAAGCGCCCCTCCGTGTTTTTAGTGGAGACTACGTTTATATAACCCAGCGCCTTCGCCTTTTCTGCTGTAAATGTTTTTTATGTTTATATTTGAATTCAAAGGATTTATTTTTAAAGTTACACTGATATATTAGTATATCAGAGTAACTTTAATAAAACATAAGAATATATATATATATATATATTTTACAATTTATTTTTTTATTTATTTTACAGAGTTTCATGTAAATGATCGTAAGTCGACTGGCCGTCTAATGAATAGACCGAGATTTATAGATTTTAAAGCGAACGAAAAAAAATCAAACAACGAATACATACCATATATTTTTCTTTTATCTAAGATACATACCTTATCGTCTTTTGGAAACACGTACATTTTTGCAGTTTTGTTAGTTTCTTTGCAAGATGCAACACAACAAGAAAACACCATTTTTACAGTTAATAAATAATAAAACTATTTCTGACTATGATATTTAAAATTTAGATAGATAGAAAATTAAAAAACAAACGAGTATTTGCAAACGCAGGCCCAAATCCAATAAAAATCAAAATTTTTCCTGCAAAAATCAGGCTTTTTTTCACTGAAAAGGTATTTTTTGATTTATCAGCAGTCATTGTCAAGTTGACAATATACAGGGTGTTTTCGAATTAGTCTAAAAAAATTATGGGGTGATTCCTCTTGTTCCTGTTTTACAACAATTTTTATATAACCATTGGGTCTAAAGTACTTCCTTTCTGATCTACAGGGTGTTAAAAATTAAAAAAAATCAATTTTTTTGCTTAACATAAATGGTACACCACTGCTTTTTTAAAGAAAATATATTTTTTTCTTGACTGGCCATCCTTTTTCAACAAAATTGATCTTTTGAGTTTTTCTTCTTCATCAAACGGTTGTCGAGAAAAAAATAAATATACTTATTAAGAGCCCGCCTTAATTCGTTTTCTAACGATTTTAAATTTTTTAGATTAATTAGGAAACACCCTGTATATGCATATCACAGGCAACCAAATAAACTAGTAACCTCTAAAAATTATTTTTCCTACCACTAGCGATATACCGTGTTTTTAGTGTGTACTAAATTATTTTATCAAAATTTTACCATATAAGTTTCCAGGCAATGTGCATACTTGCATTTTAATATATCTATATTTTTTAAAATAGGCGTTTTCTTAACTTTTTACGGTGATCTTAAAAAGCCGATCATTTATCGAATATCAAATAGGATAATTCTGGGGGCAGTCCTAAACATCAAAGATTGGGCAAACGCTTACTTTACAAGTTAGGTACATAAATTTCGGAATACAATATGATTGTGATGTTTTTATATTAAGTTTATAATACTCGTAATAGCGTAATAACATTTATAATATTTTAGTCTAATCTATATTGTATGTTTAAGAACACCCTTAAAACTTAATTTGCAGTGTACAGTATTTTCATCAGCGCGCGTGACAGACTTTTTACTATATTCAATCTTGTTGCTAGCTCTTAGACTATTAGAGATGAGCAACAAATCGCAAACTGCGATCCAATCGCAGCGATTTTAAGATCACAATCGCAACCTGCGATTGGCTCTCATGGAAAACTGCGACCGCGATTTCTTCTCTTTGCGAGTTTCAATTTCGGCAACTAATATTACTATAGTTGCTAGTTGCGATTTTGCTGCGATTGTGATTTTGTAAACTAGGATCGTAATAACCTTCTATCTGCGAGTTTAAATCTTTAGGCGTTGCGATTTTGTTGGGAATGTAATTTTCTGGTCCGTTTAAGGCATTTTATAGTAAACTGGGATTGGATATTTTCTCTGATTTTATTTATTAATAGAGAAGGTTGCTCTAGGGCCAAGATCATAATATACCGGGTGTTTCCCAAGAGTGGTTCATTAGCTTTCAAGTCAATGTCAGCATTCTGAACTGTTAGTTCTAGTTAGTATTTAGACTATTTAATATTGTTTAGCTATTTAATATTTGGGATATTTGATATTGTTAGATATTTAGTATTTCGACTTTAATATGTTTAGCTTTTTTTAGTATGTTGAGTAAATGAATAAAACAAAAGTCTTACTGTTATGTACTAGATGGCGCCATGACGTAAAAATCGAAAAAACTGTAATAAATATCATCTGGATTTTTCTTGAGAGACTTGTAAGAGATAACGATAGTTAATGAACCAATGACTAAAGAATATAAGGACATGTAACGCCCCTATACGGGCTGCAGCAGAATTTGTGACCTTTTTTTTGTTGTTTTGGTGGCAAACAATGAGTCATCATTTGGTCACCAGCGACAATTTTAGCGATTTTTAATAGTTTGTGTGTAGTAAACTTTGTATAAACTTTATTATAATGGTGATTAGATGTTCAGCTTTCAAGTGTAAAAGCAGCAGCGATAAGAAAGAGCCAGGAGTTACGTTTCATAGGTAAATAAACAGTCCACTCCAACCTTTTAGCGTTTTCTTATTGAATTCGATAATTATTCTTCAATTTCAATTAATATCTATATGTACTTGATATGTGCTATACGTCGATACTAGTTTTGTACCTTTTGTTAACATTTTAATACGTTTTTTTCGTAATTAATTAGGATGATACACCATAGGCGTAGTCAAAACAATTATCAATAAATATAAATATTGCTTCAAACAGCTAGGTTAAGAAAAATATGTGCCACGGCACTGTTTGGTGGCATCGTCACAATTTGCTCTCGGGTGTTATTTGTCCTTGGATTCTTTAGTCATTGTAATGAACGCAATTTTCTTGTATTTAAAATCTTCGTATTCAATATATTTTCTACTTTGTTATTTATTTGCGTAGTGGTTTCATTTCCAAAAACCTCAACATGAACTTCATAATTAGTGGTAGTAGAAAAAGTTGACAAACTTAACTTTATCTATTATTTATAGTTATACTACAAAATATGCGAGTAATGCCATTTTGTCCTTTGATTACCATCCGTCAAGAGAAATTGTGGTTAGAAATAAAAAGCAAAATAAAACACTAATTCACTACAATACACCAAAACACTTTAGTTTTGCACTGGACGCGCGTTTCGCTAACCATGATATACATATACAGGGTGGTCCGAACTGTATTCCGAAAACTTCGGCAACATATTCTGCAGAAAAAAATAAGTAAAAAGTCCGCATAAATGTATGTCCTAAAATGCTTTGTTTTGGAGATACAGGGTGTAGAAGTTTCATTTTTATTTCAATTTTTTTAAAACAATTTCTGAAGTAACGTCAATAATTGAATGAAAATTGGTGTCTAGGAGTTGTAAATTCGATTTCGATGTCAATATGGCTCCTACTTTTAGAGGGCGCCACCTACGTATTTTTTAACTGGTTTGAAGAGTAATAACTTTTCGTCCGTACTTGTATAAAACTACCTAGTTATAAAATATACATTTACGACGTTTTTTACGCAAAAAAAGTATCTTGGTAAAAATCGCTACGAGTAATGGTTCTCGAGATATTCCGAATCGAAATTACCAATACCTGTCATCACTGGCATAAATTAAACATGTTGGCTAAATAGTTATTAGACTGACATCAGAAATTTGAAATAATTTTGTGTTAAAATTTCAACTAAAACTGTTTTATCATCATTTACATAAGCGAATAAAAATTTATGATTAGTTTAAAAAAATAAAAAGTTCCCAAATTTCTCATTTCAGTCAAATAACTATCTACTCAACGTGTTTATTTTTAGTCAATAATGACATGTATTAACTATTTCCATTGTGAATATCTTGAGAACGGGTGCTCGTAGCGATTTTTACAAAGAGACATTTTTTACGTAGAAAATCGCGGATATTTCACTCAGTAGTTTTATACAGGTACGGACAAAAAGTTATTACTCTTCAAAACAGTTAAAACACATATAGGTGGCGCCCCCTACAATCAAATTTCTCATGTCAAAAAACTTCCATACACCAATTTTCATCCAAATATTCACGTTACTTTAGAAATTATTTGGAAAAAACCAAATAAAAATGAAACTTCTACACCCTGTATCTCCGAAACTAAGCATTTTAGGACATACATTTGTATAAACTTTTTTACTTATTTTTATCAGTAAAATATGCTGCCGAAGTTTCCCGAATACAGTTCGAGCCACCCTGTATATCAGCAGATGATTAAAACTAAAGTAATATCTACAATTGAGGGTTTATATAGAGCTCAGTTGGCATCAAGTAGGCGTGACAAAGCTAGTCAAGCGAGTCAAAACCAACTGAGCATATCAATTAATTACCGAAACGAGAGTAATAGGAACAGAGAACTGTAAGGAATTGGACCATTTTCTCTGTTCATACCATCTTTACATTTATCAATTTTTACGCTCTCATTGCATCTAATTGCCTGTAATTTCAGACTTCTTTAATTAATTTTAAATTATTAATATTTATACAATGTTTTTTGAGCAACAATATGTTGAGCAACGCAAGATTTATCCGATCTACCATATCTTATCTGAACCCGATGTTCCTTAAATCTAGTTAATATTGATCTTATTATGATTCAAAAAATACGTAGTTGTTCTATGTCTATATGGAATATTGGGCACCCCGTATATTAACGTATATTTTAAGTATTCAGAATTTTACCATAAACCAATCAGTCTAACCTGTCGGGATTGTCTTCCTGGGTAGCTCTGATGACTAAGATTGCTGGACTTTCAATATCACCTTCATTTAAATTTTTGTTCAAGTAAACTCTGCCAGTTTGTCGATCTAAGCGAAAAAACGCATATTCTCTTTCAACATTATTCCATGTGTAATATATCGGTGCTCCAATACCCTCGTCTCGATCGAATGCTCGAATGTCTCTTGGCTTAATAATTAATGATGAACCTTTTATTGGGGGTTCCGGTACTTCTGCTGTGTATCTGTCGTCTAAAAACCTGAAAAAAAATGACACAATTGATCAATTAATTTTCATTATAATGTAAGAGACGATATAAACAAAAAAAATATGTGCCCAGTAGCGTAGTGGTATAGCTATAGCCTATTCATTAGACAGCCAGTCGAATTTTTAAGTACTTGCGTTTTATGTGCCGCGCCTGTTCTCGTACACATGACCCAGTCTCGATAGTTTTTATAAGCGGAGCTTCGAAAGGAGCTCAAAATTCGACTTATTACATGACATAAGCGAATATATCTAGGTAAGTAGGCAGAGGTTCATGTAAATGACCGTAAGTCTCTGCAAACTTATTTTTATACAGGGTGATGCACCTCATTCGCCTCGGTTGATTATACGAAAACGAAAAGATATAGAAACAAAATACTTTATGGGTATATGTGGGAAGGCAATGTGCATAATTTAAAATTATTTTGAAATGTACAGGGTATGTTAGAACCATAGATTTAGGAAGAACAGATATCACATTGTGCATTTTAACCCGATCAAACAATCGGAGGTTGACCACGTACTGTAAAAACCAACTGAGATAGAGAAGGCGACATTGCCACATCTCAAATTTGCGCCTATCTACCTAGTTTGATTTGCAGAAAAGGTGACTTTAAAACCTTCACCGGATATCAATAAATCTCAATTTCTTGATTAAATTAATAGTTTATTTTTAAGGAAGCATGCGTAATAATATGGTTATTAACCAGAGGATATATTATGCGTTACTATTAAAGGACATATTTACTGTTTAATGTGCTGAAACGTCTAGAACTATTGGCAACGTCGCTACTAGTCTTCCAGAATGAAAATGAGCTGTCCGTCCCACCACCCCTCGCGACGGCCCTTGGTCCGTTATAGCGTATTACGTTTAGCTTTAAGGCGGGTTCCCACTTGTCAGTTTCGCTGACGCAGTCTGACTGATTCGTTATCAATGAAAAATAAAAATCAACGATTGTATTCACACGTTTCATGTTTTGCTATATTCAGTATTCAGTTGGTCCAAACATTTTGGTGGTGATTTCGCAGACATGAAAATGGTTAAAACAAAATTGAAACCAGGTGTTCGCGAAGTTTTTAATTCGCGAAGTTTACAATTAGCAAATGAATTACAGAATATTCTGGTGAATCAGAAAAAAAAACGTTTTTTTAAAGCAGATACGTCTACAAGAAACCGTTGACGTTCTATTTTAACAGAACGTCAACGGTTTCTTGTAGACGTATCTGCTTTAAAAAACGCGTGTTCTCATAATAGTTTGAATTTAAATATTTTAAATAGTTCTTTTTTCTTTATTCTTTGAATTTTTTTGCTTCCGACGATAGATTTTCCGAAACGTTAAGCATTTTTTTCTTTGTTAAGCCAATTTGTATAACTGTAAACATAACTTCTTATAAGCAGTGTCCGTTTAGGTTTAACGCCAGAAGTGTTTACAAAAAATAACTATTTTATTTTGTAGATTTTCTTGCAGTGCAGTGGCGAAATACCCATAAAGGAGTTTTTTGGAGATATACATTAAAATAATTAATTAACTTTAACTTGTAAACTGAACAAATCACGAAAATGTAGTTCTCATGCTTCAGTTTCTATTCATTATTCGATAATGATCAGTCAAAAATGAAAAAAGTAGAACTGGTTTTCACTTTAACTGAAAGTACGAATTTACTGATCATTTAACATGAAAATGTGTTCTGACGTTCATTATTTGTTCAGTATCACTGAATCAGTCAGACTGCGTCAGCGAAACTGACAAGTGAGAACCTTTACGGTGTGTTTGAAGTCGGAATCAAGTCCGAAGTGAACTTTTCAGTGTTTTTCAGTAGTTTTTGTTTTTGTTTAACGTACTTTTGAATCGGCGAATTTTCGATATGGTACGACAGTGTCAAGTGTGTGGAAAAATAAGTTCAAATTACCCGAATTTGTCTTTTCACAGGTAGATTTCCGCCGTAATTGTACATAGGCGTCCCACAAGGGAGCCTCTTACAATTAAAATAATTTCTAATTATATTTGTTGAATTTTGATCTATTAAAACAAGAACGTAGTAGCCGGTAATTGAATTATAATTCGTCTCAATTACTACCTAACTGTTGTAGGTCATAACAAATTTGAATATAAACGTTGCATTTGAAACTTTATTATAAGCCAGAAAGTGACATTTTTTTTTCTTAAAATTGCGTAATATTTTTGTCATTATATAGATATTCTAAAGGAATTTTGCTCAACAAATAAACAAAGGTGTTTACCCGACCTCTTTTTACATTTCACTGCTTTATTATATCTGCCCCTTCGGCCTTGTTTAGACAATTTTTTACCACCGTACAAATACCTCTTCCTAGAGTTATTTGTACGGTGTGTTTACCTTTTTTTTAGAATGAAACGAACTGTAAATAATTTTTAGGCTACTAGTTTTATACATACCTATATAACAGAGTGACCCAGGCCTCCAAAAAAGCTTTTTACCTATTACGTTTTTGGTTTGTGATTTTTATTTCAATTTTTTACATAAGATGGGGGCCATTGTAGCGCACATTTTCAAAATATTTTTGTCAACATACAGGGTGATTCAAACCGCAATACATATGCAGTTCATGAAGATTGAGACATTTAACTAAAATTTGATTGTCTGATGAAGCTACCTTTAAAAGTAATGGGTTTGTAAATAAACGTAATATTCATTATTATGCGACAGAAATCCCATACTGTAGCACACAGATTTGACACTTTTAATGATAAATGCCTTCTATTGAGAGACTAAAAGGTAATTGCCTCGTATCAGAGCCATCATAATACAAGAAGAAGACCGAAAGTCAAATCTTGTCTTATATTTTCAAAAAAACACAATTTTCTCATTAAATATTGATTTTAGGTATAGGAAGTTATTAATAATACAAGATTAAACAACTATTACACAGTACTTCACAGGAAGCTATCGATTGCGAACTAACTAAATCGTTACTAATTACTAATTTTGAAAAGTTCTTTTTAAGATCAAAAAAGGTAAAACTAAAACCTAAACTATCATTTGAGATTAAACGGGAAGTTCTAAATAATGTTGCCTATTCTAAACAAGAAAAAATTATTTATAAGTTTTATAACATCTCTAATTAAATTTGGACGAAAAGAATATTTCTGTTTGCTGTAGGTAATTTTCTCAGGGAGAATACGTAAATAAAAATGACTTTTTAAGTCAAAAAAAGTCAAAAGGACAAGTTATTCCAAAAAAGGACTGTCCTTTCAAAAAAGGACAGGTGGCAACCCTAGGTATTTCTGGAATGGAAATTTAATGGCAAATCTACAACCTTAGTTTGAAAATATGTTCTGGCCACCTATGTTTACAAAAATGTGCTCTACCATTGCCTCCATATTCTGAAAAAAATTGAAAGAAAAGTCACCAACCACAAACCTAATATAGAACTGTTTCAGAAATTTGAGTCACCCTGTAAATATTCAAAAGTAAGGTAATTTGATTGTTTATACAGTTTTATAAAGTTTATACAGAAGTAACTGAAAGTTTATATAGAAGTAACTGAAAGTTTATATAGAAGTAACTGAAAGTTTAAATTGAAAACCGACGTTGGAGCGATTTTCGAAAACTACAAACTAACGTTTCAACATAAGTATATATGGGATATTAATTATATTATTATATTAGACCTTATAACAAAACTCATCTGACGAAAAAATGTTAATGTAGTATATTAATATGGAGTAAAAATTTTACTAATTACTTTACTTTTACTTTACTAATTAAATTCCTTCCAAAAAACGACACGCCACTGGCCATTAGAACAATCCAAATGCGCCTAGTTGCCGGGGTCGGAAATTTTAGACTTTTCTGCCTCTTCTGTCCTTGTTTGACACATTGGAATGTTTGATACACTTCCAACGAGTATTTATGAATGAGATGTTCGGTCTATCTTTATAATGTCTTTGGTTCGAACTAAGATCTACACCAAAGTTATATTTGTTATGGAACACCCGGTATTTTATATCATATTTCGATCCTTGGACACAAAATAAGGCATTTATTATAAGGGGTAAAAATGTTTACAAGCTATTGTTTTTGAGATATTTAAGGATATTTAAATATCCATGCTATAATAACAAAAAGTTGTAAAGAATTAGAAAAGTAAAACACCCTGTACATTGCTTTTCAGAATTAATTATTGTGCTAACTTTGGTATCAAAATTGCTGGTTTATATTAAATACTTATTTTCCATAAAAAGTTTGATATTTCAAATACAATACTCTGTATTTTTTTAAATAAATCGAAGCAGATTCAAATGATCTTTCAAACTATATTAGGGTTTCCTATACCTATCTAGCAATTTTTCAATAAAATGGCAACCAAGAGGGCTAATCAAATCAAATCAAATCTTTTTATTAGGCCCCAATATAAAAAATATACAAAATATAAACCATACTTTGGCTGACTAATAGCCTAATAGCCTAATAAGGAGTGCACCGCGATTATAAAACCGATTCACTGATTGCCAAAGGCATCAGTGTGGCACACTCCCTGTAAAAAATAACTAAACAGAATTTCATTTTCAATACAATAATATACCAACAACAAACAAACCCGTAAGAAAAACAGAGGACCACCGGCAAAGCAAAAAGAAACCCCGAGCGCACAGAACAAAGCGTCTGCAAAACAATTTAGCAATGTTAAAAAGTATATAAATACAATTTCAACACATACACAAATATTTTCCAAAATTGTAAAGCTGAGCAGTGAGCCAGTCAAAACCATATCAAATTAAAGGTCCGTTCACCACAGTTTGCCAAAATAACAAAAGATAAAAGATAAATTTAGAAATACGTTCTCTATTATATTCGATTGTAAAACCAGCAAATTATTCTTAACATATTTATTAAAATAATGTGATTTATAGCATTTAACACTGATTGGAAGAGAATTCCATAATTGCGGCGCAAGAAAAGAAAACGATTTCTGAAAGCCATCCGTTCTATGTTGAGGTATTCTGAAACGAT